CACCCCACCCTCGTCCCCATCTGTGAGCAGCGGCCTGTCCTCCCCCAGGTAAATGCCAGGTCCAGCCCTGCCCACATGCGGAAACAGTCGTAGCCCTCTGCCCCTCCCTGAGAGTGCCCATAGGACTGAGCTTAGGTGCCACAGATTCTGCCCTGGGAATTTTTGCCACTCTTGTGACGACTGACTGTGCCCCCAGGACAAGCAGTGGTGGGGCCCCAAGGGCCCTGGGTGGGCTGCAGCTGGACTTACTGCTAGAAGAAGGTAGGGCCTTAGGGAGAGGCTGTGATGAAGCCATGCCCACGTCACCTCTGGGACCCAGGAGCAGAGTTCCTCACCCACCGGAACCCTCCTCACCCAAGCAAAGAGCTGCACTTGTGTGGGCCGCCCTCACAGAGGCCACCCATGACTCCATGGTGTCATTTGTGAGGGGCGTTTTGGCTGCTGGATCCAGCACCACAGGCCCAGGCTGGAGTGTCCCAGGGAAAGGGGACTGCTGGTGGGCACTCTTGTTACCACATCAGCAGCCCTCCCTGTGGGCCCAAACACCCCCCCAGGTGAAACAACCCACCCTTCCCCCTCTCCTCAGCCAGGGCGTCGGCGCCGAGCTGATGGGGCTGCAGGTGGATTACTGGACAGCGGCCCAGCCCGCGGAGAAAAAGAGAGACGCGGACAAGAAAGACCTGCCTGCCGCCAAAAACACGCTCAAGTGCACTTTCCGGTCCCTGCAGGTCAGCAGGCTGCCCAGCGGTGGCGAGGCCACGGCCACGCCCACCATGTCCATGACCGTGGTCACCAAGGAGAAGAACAAGAAGGGTGAGGTGGGGGGCGGGCCGTGGGGGAGTGGCCACTGGCGGGGGGCTTCAGTGAGCCTGTCCTGAAGACGATGGAGCACAACTGGCCCCTTCCTTCCCAGTGATGTTCTTGCCCAAGAAAACGAAGGACAAGGAAGTGGAATCCAAAAGCCAATGCATTGAGGGTATCAGCCGCCTGATCTGCACCGCCAAGCACCAGCAGAACATGCTGCGGGGTGAGCGCCTGGCCGCAAGCGCACAAGGTTGGAGTGGAGAGGCGGAGCCACAAGGAGAGGGTCAGAGCTGTGTGGAGAGACAGGAAGCCAGAGGGGCCACGCTGGAGTGGAGAAGGGTGGGGCCAGACGTGAGAGGGGTGTGGTTTAAGGGGGAATGGGCGGAGCTGTGAGAGGGGTGGGGCCAGAGAGGAGAGAGGATGGGGCTGAAGGGGTGAGAGGTGGGGCTGGAGGGGAGAAGGGGGAGGACCTTTGAGGAGAGGTGGGATCAGAGAGGAGGGAACATGGGGCTGAAGGGGAGAGGGGTGGGGCCAGAGGGGGAAGGGGTGGGGCTGTGAGAAGAGAGGTGGGACCAGAGAGGAGAGAGGATGGAGCTGAAGGGGAGAGGGGGTGGAGCCGGAGCGGAAAGAGGTGGGGCCAGAGGGGAGAAGCGGGTGGACCTGTGAGAAGAGAGGTGGGACGAGGGGTGAGAGGATGGAGCTGGAGGGGAGAGGGGTGGGGCCGGAGGGGGAAGGGGTGGGGCTGTGAGAAGAGAGGTGGGACCAGAGAGGAGAGAGGATGGAGCTGAAGGGGAGAGGGGTGGGGCCGGAGGGGAGAAAGGGCGGAGCTGTGTGGCGAGTGGCGATGCCAAAGGGACGGGGTGAGGCTGGAGGGGAGAGGGGCGGGTCCTCGCAAAATGGAGAGAGGGATCACTCCTCCCGATGCCCTTCACACAGGGCGGGGAACCGTGAGTTTCGCGGGTGCAGAGTGCGGGAAAAGGCCGTTGGTTTTGCCTGTAAAAGGGGAAAATTAAGCCAGCAGCAAACGTTGAGTCTGTGTTCTTTTCAAGTCACCGAAGGCACAGGCTTCTTCTGTTGGTCGTGCTGTGAATGTGTATCACGCAGCGTTGCGCAGTTTCATAAAGTGCGCTCACACTGCAAGTCCCAGGGACCACTCCCCACCTTTCTGCTTTTTTGAAAAATGGGTTTGTATGTTTCAAATCGGCAGCTCTGGTGGCGTAGTTCTTGACTGCTAACCAGAAGGCTGGCAGTTCAAACCCATCAGCCACTCCTCGGAATGAAGGTTGGGCAATCTACTTACGTAGATACCGCCTTGGAAACCCAAGGAGGGGTCCCTATGAGTCGCTCCGACTCAAGGGCTCATAACAACAACAACATGTTTCAAATCGTCTTTGTAAGAGTGACGCCTCGCCCTGCAAGTCAGGGCCGCACAATTGCAAGTCACTGTCTACTTCGTCTGCTTGTCTCTGAGTGGGGGCACTTCACGTTCTGAGGTCCTGAAACCCTTGAGGGGGATGTCAGCGGCCCCCACTGGCTGCTCCATCTCTCCCCTCCCTGCAACCACTCAGAGGTCGGCTTTAGTCCTGGGCACAAGCGGAAGTGAGTCTGCACCGAGCAGGGGGCCCTCCCTGCTGGCCCGGTGCTGCTCCCCACAGAGGGCCCCTCTTGCCAACCTGCTCTTTGCAGCAGCTAATGGCTCAGACAGCTCTTGTCTGTCCACAGTTCTCATCGACGGGGTGGAGTGGAATGACGTCAAGTTCTTCCAGCTGGCAGCCCAGTGGTCGTCCCACGTCAAGCACTTTCCCATCTGCACCTTTGGACACTCCAAGCCCACCTTCTAGCCCCCCGGCCCTGAGGAGCCAGCCAGCAGACAGCCACGCAGGGACTGGGCGGCTGCTTGTTGGTCAGCAAGCCTGCCCTGCGAGGCCATCACCGCCGCTTTGCTAACATTTCAGTTGACTACAGAGAGAGACGCTTCAACACAGAGAATGGTGTTATCAGTGTCCTCACAGCCGCACGTGGAGCTGAGTCCTGCTCTGCTTATTAACCAGAATGTTCCGCGGGGGTGCTGGGAGGTCTGAGCGGACACTGTTGAGCTGAGAGAATCACGTGAGGTGGCTTTGGTGTTCAGGAGCTCCTACCCAGAGCCCCTCCAGCAGGAAGGGCCCCTTCCCTTCATGAAACAGGCCTCCGCTTTCTCAGGTAGCAGGAGGGCAGCTGCCCGTCCATGCAGGTGAGGGCCCACCTGTCTGCACAGGGGAGGAGCCTGCTCGTGCAGGCCGCAGCACTTGGTGGCCAGAAGCCGGGGATCATAGCTAAGGGTGGTCATTGGGGAGAAAGCTGGGGTGGAGTGTGGAGGGCAGCCACAGGCCAGCCCTGTGCCCCACTGGACAGCCACCATACTCCCCTTCTGTCCAGACCTTGCCTGACAGACGTCTCCCCGCATGCCGTCCACTCGTGATCCCCAATAAACTCCACCCCATGGGGCAGTGGAGTTTTATAGTTGCAGGTATTTTTAATGCTTTGAAACACATGTTACAGTGTAGCTGCCAAACAGGTGTGGCTCTTCTCAAGGCCAGTGCCCACAGGGGCTAGAGCAGAGGCCGCAAGATGCCCACGGCACCACGCCCTGTGCCCCGTACTGCTGCCCTCCACCTTGCGCTGCAAGCCCTCACAAGACCTTCCTGTGCCCTTGGACGGTTGTGGGAAATGCCGCTGCATTTCTGTGTGCTTGCCTGGCTGCCCAAACTCAGCCAGTGAGGGCTCTCCTCCCACGCCTGGCGGGTGTGCCAGACGCCATCCTGGGACCTGCTCCCTCACTCCAGCCTACCCTCATGCTCCTCCACCACTGGCTCCACCCACAGCGGCTGTGCGCCACCAGGGCTGGCCTGGGGCACCTGGGTTGAGATTCAGGATGTGGTGAACAAGGAGACAGGTGGCCGGGTCCCAGGTGTGCATGTCTCACCTGCATAATCACATGGTCAGTAAAGGCTCAGGCTGGTCTGACAGGAGGTGCCAGCCTATTGGGGCTGGGGGTGCAGCCCCAGTGCCTCTTGCACAGGTATGGCTCTTCTCAAGGCCAGTGCCCACAGTGCACCAGGGCTAAGCTCCCATCCTGGGGACAGGCCCCAGCCTCTACCTGTCCACCTCCACCAGCCATCCATGTTGGGGTGGGGAGACCCTCACACCCCTGGGTCTCCATGGAAAGGTCCCCCTGACTTCCCTCCTTGGGACAAGATTGGCCCATCTGAGGAGGCTCCGGCCTTGTTTTCTGAGATGAATCCACAGTGAAAGGTGTGGCTGGAAACAGTGCCAAATGTAGGGTGGGTGCGGCCACCCCACACCAGCAGCCAGCACCCCTGAGGGGCCCCGGCCTCTTGGGTGGGAGATGCTTTTCTTTCACCTGTGACTACTTGCTTACCTGCCCCTCCCCAGGTGCTTTGGAAGCCTGCCCGCAGGTGTGTGCAACATTGTGAGCTGGGGCCAGGGTAGAAAACGGGGTGCCTCTCCTCTTGGAGACACAGGCATCTCAGCGCCCTGGTGTGGCCCCCAGCTGGCTCTCCCAAGACACTGCTGGCCACTGTCCAATAGCAAGTCCTGGGCGGGCTCATCCCTTCCAACCAGGGCACGACGTGAGGAGAAAGCACACCAGGGTCTGGGGTTGGTTATCTGTGTGGCCAGGCAGGGGCTGTGTCTGTGGGGCTATTTGGAGGCCTCTAGCCAGAACCCTGGGCCGCAGGGTCCTCCCGACAAGAGCCCCTCGCTGCACCCCCTACATCTCCCACGTGCCTGGAGCCCACAGCAAGCCCTGGGTGCCTGCCCAGTCAGGCCCAGAAGGTCTGGGCCCTGGAGGGTGTAGCTATCGTGCCCACCTGTTCCCTCCCCTCCCCGCCAGTGGGCTTCAGGACCTCTGCTTATTCTCGCTTGGTGTCTTCCCAAAGGTCACACTCAGTAGGAAACAGATGGCCGTGATGATGCCCCCAAGTTAGCTTTGTGGCAGGGAGCTGTCCCACCCACCTGGGCTCTGCTGGCGCACAAACCATGCCCTGTGCCGGGGGCAGTTGCACAGATGGGCTCCCACCCCTGTCACTCACCCCAGACCCGGCCATGCTCACCCCTGTGTGCCTCGGTTTCCCCATCAGTTAAAAGGGGATGGTAACCTCCCCTCCTACCTCATGGAGCTGTTCTGAGGATACATGGAAAAGCACTTTGTCCCCTACAAGAACGATAACGAGAAGCCAAATCAGCCTGTGACTGACCCTGTGGACCGAGCCCCCGGGGTGGCGCATGGCAGGGGCTGCGGGGACGGGGGCCCGGGGCAGCAGGCAGCCCTGGGACAGGTTCTCGCGGTGGCAGCCGGCTGTGTGGTCAGCGCCCCTCGTAGCCCCGCGTCGTGACCCCTTTCCCGACCTGCGGGGGCCCGCTCGGGCAAAGGCCCGACCCTGCGGACGCCTCCGCGCCAGCGCGCGTTGTTGGGTTTCTAGTCGTACGTGTTGCCAGTTTTGCTTTTCTAATGGAAAACAGGATTAATGTAAATAACCTTTTTGGGGAACAGACTGTAATCCGTCACGTTCGTGACCATGTGGACTATTTCAAGGTGCTGATGCGACACTAATAAACCTGGAGGCCCCCAGGGCCTGCCCTCGGCTACTGTGTGATCCCTCCTCGTGACCCCGTGAGCCGGGCCGCGCCCGCCCAGGGTCGCGCAGTGCGGCCGTGGGTGCCGGGAAGGCTCGGGGGCAGACGGGCCGCGGCGACGACCACGCCGCTGGCCGGCGCCCCAAGCCCGCTGGAGGCCGGTGCGCACGCGCGGAGCCAGCCGGAAGTGGCAGCGCAGGGGCGGGGCCTCCGCCTACTGTTGCGGCCCTCGTGACCCGCCCCAGACTCCGGAGCCCGAGGTGGACCCCGCACCCCAGCGCCCCCTGCTCCCCCGGCCCGGAGGCCAGCGCGCAGGCGCGGAGCCAGCCGGAAGTGGCTGCGCGGGGGCGGGCCCCCGCATACAGTTGCGGCCCCCGTGACCCGCCCCCCGGCTCCTGAGCCAGAGGTGGTCTCCGCACCCGCACCCCGCCGACCCCGCCCCGAAGCCACGGGGGACGCCCGCCCAGTCCCCCGGGCCGCCGGGGACCCCCGCCCCACCCCCACCGGCCCCACTCCCCTGCGCCCCCGGTCTGCCGTGGATCCCCACATCCTGCTGCTGATCATCCCCCCGACCAGCAGGGAGTCCCCGCCGCCTCCGCCCACCGACCCTTCCGAGCCGCAGGCGCCCGACAGCCCGGCCCCGGAAGCCCCTCAGACCTGCCGAGGGCCCCTGCCTCTCCCGCCACTTTGTGCCCCAGCTGTGCCCCCGACGCCCCCTGGTGGCCCCCTGGCAACTTCCTGCCCTCCGCGGGGCGCCTCCGCCGGGCCCTGCCGTCCCTCGCCGACTCCCTGTGGAGGGGCTGCTGGTGTGGGGTCTGCTCCGGCCTCCTCACCCGCGGGGGTCCGGGCCCCCGCCTTGGGGTGCGGCCTGGGCCGCGCCGAGGTGAGCGTCACAGCCGGCAGGGGAGCCCCTCGACCCTGCTGGAGCCCCACTCCTTGGAGGGTCCGAACCCTCCGGACACTGGGCCAGATAGACTTGGGGAACCGCCAGAAGAGGTGTCCAGTCTTAGACCCGGCGCGTAAAGCCAGGAGGACAGATGGCTGGACGGAGGGTGGGTGGTCCCTGCGTCTAGGAGAGCAGAGGGTGCGGGGCTCGGGGCTCCCGGGGGGGGGACGCTGCAAGAACCAGACGTCCGCAGGCCACAGGCGGCGGCTGAACGAAGTGGCTTTCCGCCTCTCTGACCTGAGGCCGCCCAGCAGCATTGCCCAGTGGCTGGTCTGTGGCCCCAGTAGGAGCCTCCGCTGCCACCTCCTGCCTGTGACCTAGGCAGCTGTGGGGAACAGGCAGGCTTGCGGAGCTGCTCTGCCCAACCCTTGTCCTTCTTCAGAGCCCCAGAGGTGCAGACCAGTAGCCTGCTAGAGCTGGTGATGGATGACAAAAAGTGCTCGCAGAAGGGGTTCCTGGGGAAGAAGCTATCAGCACCGGGCCCCCCAGAGCACAAGCAGCCCTCAATCCAGGGGAGCCCGGGGGCAGCCTGGAGACAGCCCACTGTGCAGAGCAGTGCCCAGCAGGGACCGCAAACGCAGGACTGGGTAAGCACAGGGAAGCCTCGTCGGCCCTTCCCCATGCTCCTCAATGAGCACCCCAGAAACTGGCTCTGCAGAGAGCACATTTGAGCCCAGGTGAAGGCTGACTGGTGCCTGACACCGCACATGACACTGAGTGCACAATGAGAAACATCCTGGTGCTGGGAGTCTGTGGCTGTCAGCTTCCCTCCCAGCACCCAGGTGGACTTGAGTGCTTTCTACTCCGTTAGGGCGCCACAGGAAGGGGAGGTGGCCCAGAACCTCCTCCAGTCACCATGGGCCTCTCGGTTGGTCCCCTGGGCCCAGATGCTGGGGATGGCCTCTCGGCTTCCATGAAGCTCTCAGGCCAGGCAATCAAGACTGTGGGTGCACCAGTGAGAGCACAAGGGATGGGGGCTGCTCTTGGTAACAGGCCGGCAGGACCAGGCCAGCAGGGGAACTGTGCAGAGGGTCCCCCCAGGACGTGGACAGCAGAGGAGGGGTTTGGACATGGGGAGGCCTTGGACAGAGTTGTGGAGGGCAGGGATTCTGGTGTATGGGACGGAGTCCACTACCATACCCACCACCCCTGGAGGCAGTTCCCTGTGTAGGCAGTGATGTCACCTACTTCCTCCCTCCCACTGTCCCCAGCCCTGGAGGAGAGACCACGACTTCCTGCACTTAACACCCCGCTGCCCTCTCTCTGACTATCCTGCGAGGTGTCCCCTACCAGTCCTGCCCGAGGCTTCTGCCCTAGGCCTGCCTGTGCCATGGAGGGTTCTCCCCCAAGCGCTTGCCAGGGCTGGTCCCTTCTCCAGCATCACCTCCCAGAGCCCCCCCTCAGAAAATGGAACACAACCCCTTCATTTCCTCTGTCCTGCTCCTGTCCCAGCCTGAGCCCCACCCGCACTGTAGTCACCTGCCGTGGTCACTGCAAGGCCCCAGCACCCACTCGGTGCCAGACATTGTGCACAGAAGGGGCTGACCTTGGGTGGAGGCCTTATGTCCAAGGAGGCCTTGGAGAGAGACTCTAAGAGAGCAGGAGAAGATGGGCAGCCACCTCCCCAAGTGGACAGAGTGGGAGAAGAGGTCAGTGACAAGGAGCAGTTGTCACGCCTTGGGAAAAGGTTGCAGGTTTGACAGAGCAGGGAATGTCCACCCGTAGCCACTGAGCTCCAATCTGCTCACTTTTATGTATGAATTAAGAGGAAGGGTCACCAGGCACTTGAAGAAAACGCTTGTCGTGAAGAAAAACACCCAGAGGACAGGGAATCAGAAGCAACAAGAGGCAAGGCAGGCAGAGCACAAGAGAGCCAGAGCGTGCGGGGCCACCGGGAGACAGTCTGATTGTGCTGGTCAAGCCCGGAGAGCCACCCGAGACCCAGCCATGACGTTAGGGGACTTGTGAGTGGAGAAGGCCAGCTTAGGTTGGGCAAAAGAAACAAGCAGAACGAGAAATAATCAAAATCCATTTGAGGAAAACTTTAAAACGCTCCCAGAAGATTAAGGGGAGTCTTGGACATGGGAGCTCTGGTGGCATAGTGCTTAAGGCATTTGACTGCTAATCAGAAGGCTGGCAGTTCAAACCCACCAGCCGCTCCTCGGAAGGAAGGTTGGGCAATCTACTTCCTTAGTGATAACACCTTGGAAACCTGAGGAGGGGTTGCTATGAGTCGAATCTGACTTGATGGCAGTGAGTTTGGGTTTTTGTTTTGTTTTGTTTTGGACAAGGGAAAGATGCCCAGGCTCTTGAATGGCAAGACTCAGCAGCACAGAGTAACCCTCCCTAAGGCATCACATGAATTTAATGTAGTCAAACAAAAATACTCAAAGGTTTTTTAGTCTGGTAAACCACCTGAAGTTCATAAGGCAAAATAGACAAGAATAGCCCCATGGCTCAGCCACAGCAGCTATCCTGTAACTTTACAAAGCTTCCCTTAGTAAAGCTACATGGGCCGTGAATGTGAGAACTGACACTTGGTGGATGATGAAGAGCCCTCAGGTCAGTGGGGAAGAGGTGGACTTTTCAGTGAATTATGCTGGGCACCTTGGCAGATAGCTGGAAAAAGAAGGTTGTAGTCAGATCTCTCACTGAACACCAGGATAAAACCCCACATGAACCCAAGGTTTAAGTCTGAAAAAAATGAAACCATAAATGTACTAGGAGAAGTAACCTTATGAATAGCAGAAGAAACCTAGGCGGAATCCCTTAGAACTAGGGTGTACAGGCCTGTTAAGCTAAGCTTCAGAGCTCTGAAGCCATTGGATGGATGGATGGATAGACAGAAATCTATTTAACTGCATTTGGAAAAAAAAACATACTGAAGCAGAACACATGGCAGGAGCAAAGTCAAAAGATAATCAGCAACCTGGGGGTGAGGTGGTGATTTCAGAAAAAAGAGCTGTCTCGCGAGCATAAAGAACGAGGCGTCAAAACGACCAGCAGCCCGTGTGTCACCCAGCCAAAGGACAGAACAAAGACTTCACAGAACAGAAAATACAAGCGGTCCCCACTCCGGAAAGATGTGCAGCCTCCCTCACTGTAAGAGAAACACAAATGGAAGTCGTGCTAAGACACCGTTTGATCTTTAGGGTTGCCCAAATCCAGAACACCCTGTGGTCAAGGCTGTGGGGAGGCAGGACTCCCAGCAGGGCTGGTGGAGGTGGTGTGATGCCCAGGGGGTCTGCTGCAGTCACTGCAAACCTAGCAGCATCTCCACTGTGGATGTTTATAGAGATGGAGCCCACAGTGCAGGAGACATGTTAACATTGTTGACAATGGTAGAGGGCTGGAAACTGCATCACCAGCAGGAAATGTTTCCATACGTCAAAGTACCTCCATGCTAGGGGAGTACTGTGGAATGTCGTCCAGCTTCGAATAGGGTGAGGCTGGTTCTTTTGTCCAGACTTGGGGAGATTGCCAAGAAGTCGTGAGTGAAGGCAATCAGGGTCCTCAACAGGGTTTATGGCATGCTACTAGTGAGGAACAATGCAGGAAGCATCAAAAGAAGGTGGAAGGAATATACTGCATCACCGTACCCAAAATCGATGTCGCTGTTTGACATTCAGTCACTTCAGGAGGTAGCATGTGCTCAAGAACTGATGGTGTTGGAAGAAGACATCCAAATTGCTCTGAAGGCATTGGCAAAAACAAGACTCCGAGAATTAACTGGATATCAATTGAGGTATTGTAACAAATGGATGCAGTGCTGGAAGCACTGATTCCTCTATGCCAGGAAATTGGGAAGACAACTGCCTGGCCAGCCAGCTGGTGTTTGTTGTTAGGTGCCGCTGAGTTGACTGTGATACATAGCGACCCATGTCCAACAGAACAAAACACTCCCCTGTCCTGGGGTATCCTCACAGTCGTTGGCTGTGCTTGAACCCATCATTGCAGCCACTGTGTCAGTCCATTTTATTGAGGGTCTTCCCCTTTTTCACTGACCCTCTACTTTACCAAGCATGATCTCTTCCAGCCACTGGTCCCTTCCAACAACATGACGAAAGTAGGTGAGACGAACTCTGGCCATTTCTGCTTCTAAGGAACATTCTGGCTGCACTTCTTCTAGGACAGATTTTTTTGTTCTTCAGGCAGTCCATGGTATTTTCAGTATTCTTTGCCAGTGCCACAATTCAAGCACATCACTTCTTCTTTGGTCTGCCTTATTCATTGTCCAACTTTCACGTGCATAGGAAGTGATTGAAAACACCATGGCTTCAAGTTAGGTGCACCTTAGTCTTCAGAGTGACATCTTCACTCTTCAACACTATAAAGAGGTCACGTGCATAGGAAGTGATTGAAAACACCATGGCTTCAAGTTAGGTGCACCTTAGTCTTCAGAGTGACATCTTCACTCTTCAACACTATAAAGAAGTCATGTGCAGCAGATTTGTCCAGTACACTACAACGTCTGATTTCTTGATAGTTGCTTCCGTGAATGTTGATTATGGATCCGAGTAAAATTAAATCCCTGACAACTTAATCTTTTCTCCACTTACTGTGATGTTGCTTACTGGTCCAGTTGTGAGGATTTTTGTTTTATGTTGAGGTGTAATCCGTAGTGCAGAGTGTAGTCTTTGATCTTCACCAGTAAATGCTTCAGATCATGCTCACTTTCAGCAAGCAGGGTTGTCTCAACAACATATCGCAGATTCTTGATAAGTCGTCTTCTACTTCTGATTCTACCACTCCTTGGTCAGTTTTCTGTACTGTGGTGGCTTCTGTGTTGCTCTGAAGCTGGAGGCTGTGCTGCCAGTATTTCAGATACCAGCAGGGTCATCCATGCTGGACAGGTTTCAGCAGATCTTCCAGACCAAGACAGACTGGGGAGAAGGACAGGGCCATCCACTTCTGAAAAAATGGCGACTGAAAACCTTATGAACAGCAAGGAAAGACTGTCTGATATGTTACTGGAAATACAGATCTGAAAAACACTGGAAAATGTTACTGTGTATGTTGCTGTTGCTAGTAGCCCTGGAGTTGGCACCAACTCCTGGCTCCCTTATGAATAACAGGATGAAATATTGCCAGAGCCTCTGCCATCTTTATGCTCGTTGGTGTGTTTGAGTCCATTACTGTAGTTAATGTGTCAGTCCATCTCATAGCAGGGTTCCTCATTGTTGCTGCCCTCTACTAAAAATGATGTCCTTTTCTGGTGATTGGTCTATCCTGACGGTGTGTCTGAAGTAAATGATGCCAACTCTCACCATCCGTGCTTCTCAGGATCATTGCGGTTGTATGACTTCTAAGATAGAGTTGTTCATTCTTCCGGCAGCTCATGGTATTGATATAAATGGAAATGAGTACCCTATGATTGAATGAAAGGATTTCATTTTTATGCTTGCCAAATTTTCCCAAAAACAATCCCATGCAGTCCAAACTTTAAAAGACAAGCTCATGAATCTTAAAAAATGTGTTCTAAAATGAATGCAGTCCATTAGTGTTAGTGTCTTGAATTAACATTAGTCATCTATTGTGGGAGCTCTGGTAGCATAGTGCCTAAGGCACTTGACTGCTAACCAGAAGG